CAGCCTGGGGCTTTGGGAGCCTGGACCCACACCCCTGCTGTGCGCCCTTGGGCGGGTTCCTCAGTCTCCCGGGGTCTTAGTCTCCCCACTGTGTCGTGGGGCAGTGATGGTGCCCACCTCCCCGGTTGTGAGGGTGAGCGAGCCTGTCGTCGGCGCGTTCGCGTCCCCCCGATGGGCCGGCAGGTTCCGGCAGCCACTGCACCAGATGCTGCGTCTTCAGGAGTCCTGGAGGCTTCTGGAGAGACGGGGGCTTTAGGCTGAGAGAGGGTGACGCACGTTCATCACGGTCCACATTATCAGCGTGATCTCACCTTTGTCTGTTGTAAGCTTCATTAAAAGCTACTTTGTAACGTCAATGGAAATGTGCCTTTGGGACCCGAAGTTCCTGCAGCGGGGGCTCGCAGCCACCTGGCCATCCTGAGTGACCCGGCCTGGGCCCTCCTGTTTGGTGGTAGCAGTGATCGCCTGCTTTCTTCTGGGGGGGCTGTGCACCTGCTCGGATGTGGCTCCTTCCTGTTCCCTTGGGATTCCGCCCCCTCCTTTCCCTCACCGAGTCCTGCTTGTCCTGCAGCACTTAGCCTGCCGTCCATGCCAACCCCCTTCTGTATCAAGGGGCCCGGGGCTGCACCTCGCCTGACCCAGAGTCCCCTCCCGCAGGTGTCCCTGCTTAGGGGAACAGATGTGTTGCAAAGTCTGCTGAGAAGGTAAATCACGTTGAGAATTCTGTCTCCTACTTGCTTTGACAGGAGGTAGGAAAGTGCCAACACCTGAGAAACATTGATGTGATTAAAGTGAACCAATGATGTAGCATCTTTTAAAAATCATTTAAAGAAATACTTACTTCATTCTAGTAAAGCATTAGTAACAACTCTCAAACTATCGGTTAAAAACGTGCTCTGCCCAAATAATGAACCGCTGGTTACAAAAGCGGAAGGAAAGACCCAGCATGGGCTGGCCCGGTCCAGCGCCGGCAGGTGCCTGGCGGGGCCTCGGCGGCTCCGCACCCACCTGTCTGC